GCATTTTCTCCAAATTGTCTTCCCTCCCAGCCCTTGAATGAGAGGCTGCCTTTTTGCAGCCCAACCTCTGAATATAGGCTCATAAGTTGGCTCCTGTACTACACATACACCAATCCCATCTGTCATTTCTCACATATCAGGACGTACATCAATAGCTGCATCAGTTTGAATGTATTCCACATTGGTTTGGGGGAGTCCCAGGTCTCTGGCTGGACGTTGAGCAGAGCTGACAATGCCAGATGTGATCGTGTTCTGCAGTGCAAACGGACTTCCCATGGCAACAACAAACTCCCCTTGCCGGACATCAGCGGACCGTCCCAGGGGCAATGTGGGGAGAGGCTCCTAAGGAAGAAAGAGGCAGGGGGACTGTCATCTAGAGATGAGAGTAAGCAAATAGCTCCAACCAGACGTGACTTACTCCAACCCCACCTTGGTCTGAATCCTCAGCGTGGCAATGTCTGCCACGGGATCCACAGCTGTGACCATGGCCTCATATGTGTCGCCACTAGGCAGCCTCACACGGACTCGGCGCCGATCGGCCACCACATGGGCATTGGTAACAATGAGCCCGTCAGCAGCTACCACAAATCCTGAGCCGTTCGAGATAGGGACTTCACGGCCAGAGAAAGGGTGCCTGAAATAGGAAAGGGAACCATGGAGATGAGGAAGCTCCCATTCCTCCCGTTCACCCGCCCTTGGGCCGCGACTAGGATGCTTCCAATTCTATCCCACCATTACCGGTCCAGGATCTCGATATAAACCACGGCAGGTGCCGTCTTCTCCACTACATCTGCGATGAAATTGTACTGGCTCCGGGGTGAGGAGGGTGGCGGAGCAGGGACAGCAGCAAGGACCGATGGGGGACCCCGACCCCCGCCCCACAACAGCAGCAGCACAGCCCCCCCAGCGCCCAGCGCTACCGCCAGCCACACGCGCGAGCGGGTTCCAGGGGTCCCCGAGGACTCCTGGGTCCGGGGATCTGGAGTCTCAGCAGTTAGTCGTGCCCGGGGGTCCGGGGTCCCAGACGTCAGACATGCCCGCGACTCAGGGACCCCCACAGACAACCGGGCCCGGAGACCGGGGGTCCCATAAGTCACCCGGGCCTGGAGGTCAGGAGTGCCTGACGTCAGCAGGGCCCGGAGGTCAGGGGTCAACAAGGGTCCCTTACCCCAGAGAATACCCCCCAAAGCCCGCAATCCGCGGAGGCTCCAGCCTGCACCCTGCCCCGCCCTCAACGCAGCCATCAGCTCCGCCTCGGTTGCCTCCTCGCCCGCCCTACTCAAAGGCGGTGCCCCGGACGCTAGCAGGCGGACAGCGGGAAGCGGGGCACGCTGGTACCTGAAGTCCTCCAGAAGTGCACGCCGGGACCCAGGATTCCCGGAGGCCGACTCCGCCCCGCTCCACGAATGCCGGGAATTGTGGTCCCGGTGGGACGCTAGTTCTTAGGCTGCCCAAGAGGCCGCGGGGCATGCTGGGACCGCTAGCCCTTCCGGGGCGCCTCGGACTTCGGGTCCCGGCACCCGGGCTGATGCCCCAAGACTCCGCCTTCCCAGGAGCCCCTGCGGCCCGGCGCGAAGATGGCGGCGGCGGCAGCAGGGCTTCCTTGAAGCAGCTGCGATGGAGCCTCCCCCGGCCCCGGGGCCGGAGCGGCTCTTTGACTCGCACCGGTAAGAGCTCCGAAGAGAAGAGGCCGGCTCCCGCGTCCTCTCGGCCTTCGGCACTTGATCACCTCGCCTTTCGCCCCCAGGCTCCCAGGTGACGGCTTCCTGCTCCTCGCGCTGCTGCTCTACGCGCCCATCGGGTTCTGCCTCCTCGTCCTGCGTCTCTTTCTGGGGATCCACGTCTTCCTGGTCAGCTGCGCGCTGCCGGACAGCGTCCTTCGCAGGTTCCGACTCGGGCACTCTGGGACTCTCTGGGCTGGGACCGGCCGGAGGTCGGACAGTCACCACAGCCTGTATTCCCAGGTTCGTGGTACGGACCATGTGTGCAGTGCTGGGGCTGGTGGCTCGGCAGGAGGACTCCGGACTTAGGGATCACCGCGTCAGGGTCCTCATTTCCAACCACGTGACACCTTTCGATCACAACATAGTCAACCTGCTCACCACCTGTAGCACCGTGAGTGGGGGCGGGGGCGAGGCACCGATAGCCACCGGGTGGATCACTGGGCCCAAACTCAAGGCTCACCTCTCCCGGCTTGGGGTTTCTCTTGGGAGATACTGAGCCTTGCCCCTGACCCCACTCCACTACCCCTTATCTCATTTATTTTCTCTTTTCCTTCCATTCTTCTTGCTTTCTCTCCTCCCGTTTCCCAGCCTCTGCTCAATAGTCCCCCCAGCTTTGTGTGCTGGTCTCGGGGCTTCATGGAAATGGATAGGCAGGGGGAGTTGGTGGAGTCACTCAAGAGATTCTGTGCTTCCACGAGACTTCCCCCTACCCCTCTACTGCTGTTTCCTGAGGAAGAGGCCACCAATGGCCGSGAAGGACTCCTGCGCTTCAGGTGAGTGAGCACAGATATCTGGCTCCAACTGGTTGAGCTGGTGGTCACTTAGTTTTCAAAACTTTCAGCCTGTCCCATTCAGTCCTAGTTCATTCCCTTTTTCTGTCATTTTTAGTTCTTTCCCTGGATCTCTTCCTTATTTATCTGCTTGTGCAGCTGGACCATTTACTGTTCTAAGTTGGGTATGAGCTGCTGGCTGGGCTACCTGGACTCCCATCCTAGTCTCTCTTTTCTCTTCTAGTTCCTGGCCATTTTCTATCCAGGATGTGGTACAGCCTCTTACCTTGCAAGTTCAGAGACCCCTGGTCTCTGTGGTGAGTGTGTGCTAGACAGGGAATCTCTGGGGTTTGGAGGGGAACTTTCCCACCCCTGGTCTTGGCTTAGGCCTCACTTCATACCCTCCCCTCAGACGGTGTCAGATGCCTCCTGGGTCTCAGAACTGCTGTGGTCACTTTTCGTCCCTTTCACGGTGTATCAAGTAAGGTATTAACTGTCCTCACTTTTTGGTGGCTGGGGAAGAGGCTCACCTCAAGGTCAAGGACGTAGTGGCCTCTGCTCTGTCCATTTGTAGGTTTTTTATTATCAAAGTTCAACCACAGAGGCAATAACATTTACTATTTCCCCACCCTCACCATCACTGTCCCATGAAAAGAGGTACCAAAGTAAGGAAGAGATGACAGTCTCTATTCTGAGTTCCCTAATATGGCACTGGGTTGTTTTTTGCAGGTGGCTTCATCCTGTTCATCGCCAGCTGGGGGAGGGGAATGAGGAGTTTGCACTTCGAGTACAACAGGTGGTAGGGTACACAGGCAGGGTGGAAGTACCTCCTTGGGGAGAGGAGTAGGAGGTCTTAAGGTCTTGACACTTAAAACCTTGCAATTTTCCTAGTTGTTGGCCAAGGAATTGGGACAAACAGGAACACGCCTCACACCAGCAGACAAAGCAGAACACATGAAGCGACAAAGACACCCCAGACTGCGCCCCCAGTCAGGTGTGTTTCCTCTATACACAAAGCTTTTTGATTTTGTTTTTGTTTGTTCATTTTGTTTTGTTTCAGCCTATTGTGATTTCCTATTTCTGAGCTAGTCAGCCTCTCCTCCTTCCTAGTTCTCTGTTTACCATGTATCTGATTTTTTCTTTTTTCTGTTTTTCCTTTTTTTTTTTTTTTTTTCCTGCAGCCCAGTCTTCTTTCCCTCCCTCTCCTGGCCCTTCTCCTGATGTACAACTGGCAACTCTGGCTCAGAGAGTCAAGGAAGTTTTGCCCCATGTGCCATTGGGTGTCATCCAGAGAGACCTGGGTATGGGAAAGGGTGGCCACACACAGTGACAAACACAAGGAGGAAAAGTGGGTTGTGAAAGAAGAAGATGAGCAGGGAATGGACTCCCTTCTCCTCTCTTCCTTTCTTCCCAGCTAGAACTGGCTGTGTAGACTTGACCATCACTAATCTGCTTGAGGGGGCTGTGGCTTTCATGCCTGAAGACATCACTGAGGGAACTCAGTCTCTGCCCACAGCCTCCACCCCAAAGGTGAGACCCAGGAAGTGGTCAAGTCCAAGATTTAGGGTAGGTTGGGGCAGTCTACATATACCCTATCCCTAGTTTCTCTTTTTGATCCTGAGACCCTAGCACAGTGCCTCTCTTGCAAAGTAGGCATTCGATGCGTGTTTAATGATGATGACTTCGCAAGCCCTCTGACATTGTGATCACCTCAGTTCCCCAGCTCTGGCCTGGTGACCCCTCAACCCACAGCCCTAACATTTGCCAAGTCTTCCTGGGCCCGTCAGGAGAGCCTGCAGGAGCGCAAGCAGGCACTATATGAATATGCAAGAAGGTGAGGGGGATAGAGGACAATGAGTAAGAAGGGGCAAGTTGCAAAGGGCATTATGGAGCTAATGTGACAAAGCCTACACAATGTCTCTCCCTGTGTCCCACAGGAGATTCAGAGAGAGACAGGCCCAGGAGGCTGACTGAGCTCAAAGGAACAGGATGGCACCCAGAGCCGCAGGACGGAGACTGGGGGCAGCCCTCACCCAACTCACAAAAGGCCGGATGAGTGGGTGGTAAAAAGGGAGGGATGGGGCTCCCCCAATCTCACATTAAATTCAGGGTTTTCACTCAAGGTCTCTGTTGCCTCTCTGGGTTTCAAAAGCCCCATGAACAGGTTCCTTTTCCCTTGGTTAGAGGGTACACGGGTAAGTCTCCTTGTAGGTTTATGAGGGGTGGCTAGAATGGAACTGTTCAAAATCATCTCATGCCAAAAAATAAGTGATCCTGAGAAAGTGTAAATAAAATGAAGATAGGCAGCAGCTGGACCCCAGCTTGGATGTTCAGCACTGTATGAATACACAGGTTTGTAAAGCTGCTGCTGTAAAACTACAAGTCCCAGAATGTCTTTCACAAGCACAGGACTCTCGGGTTCACACATGCTCAGTGTCTTGGTAGAAGCCTGTTTTCCATAGGTTCCTGGATAGGTTAAATCTAGTGGAGCAAATGGCCCCACCCTAAAAGCAAACTTTAGGATTGGAGTTTGAGCCTAGCCTAAGGGTGGAACCGGAACTTACCTTTGTACTTCAAGCAAGTCAGGGTTGGTTGGGTAGGTTTGGAACCGGCTGCCGTCCTGAGGCGTCTCACAGCTGCAAGCAGGTTTGAATCCAAGATTCTTGTGACCCTGCTCTCCTGCCCCCACCCCTCATATTATTTATTTTCTTCTTGGGAACTTCCAGCAGGTTATTATGTCTCATTCCTGTTGCCCCCAAGAACCCCTGTGTTACAAGGTTTTTACTACAGGTTAAAAGTTAACTATCCATGGTTCCTTAGAAACACCTAGCACTGTCTCCCAGCAAGCAAGAAATGCTGGAAAGAATAGACCCTGGGGCCTTATTACCTGAGGGTAGAAGTTAGGAATCCCTGAAGTGGGAAGACGGTGTCAGACACCAAATATGAGGTCTTACTAGCTGCCCTGCCTCCTTTAGGTTCTGCCGGATAGCCACCATGGCCTCTCAGCCTCCTAGGCTGGCAGAAGAGTCTAGCTCAAGTCCTGGGGAGTCTGAATTGGCTGTAAACCCCTTTGATGGGCTTCCCTTTTCTTCCCGCTACTACGAGCTGCTTGAGCAGCGCCGAGCCTTGCCCATCTGGGCTGCTCGCTTCACCTTCTTGGAGCATTTGGAGAGCAGTCCCACTGGAGTGGTGCTAGTGTCTGGAGAGCCTGGCTCTGGCAAGAGCACCCAGGTGGTGGGAGATTCTGGGAGTGGACAAGGGGAGGGGCTAAGGGATTTGGCCTTTTTCTAGGTAAGGGATGGGTTGTGCGGGGGGATACAGGGGAGTTGGGCAGAGGGAGATGGGCTAGGCTGGTAAAGAACCAAGGACTCCCCAAATCAGGAGCCCTGGCCGTAGGCCCTCCCCAGCACTTCTGACTGAATCCCTCTATCTCTGACCGATTTTCCTTTTCTACCCCTACCCAGATCCCTCAGTGGTGTGCAGAGTTTGCATTAGCAAGAGGGTTCCAGAATGGCCAGGTTACTGTCACTCAGCCTTACCCTCTGGCAGCCCTGAGCTTGGCTGTGCAGGTTGCTGATGAGATGGACCTGACTCTGGGTCATGAGGTTGGATACAGCATCCCTCAAGAGAACTGCACAGAGTCTGACACCCTGCTCAGGTGGGGTCCTTTGCAGGCCTGACCTGAATCTAATTTCCTTCACCAAGTAGAAATGTCCATACCATTCCTCAACCCAGTTCACCCTTTTAAATCATGCACAGTACAACTATTAAATTAAGCCTCTGAGTTCCAGCCAGGAATGTGAGTTCCCCTCACATTCACCTTGAAAATCTAACTTCCCTGTTTATGAGCCAGATGTCCTCAGTGGAGTTGAGGTGTCATAGTTATAACTCCCCAAGCTCAGAAAGTCAGTCACAGTATCTTTTTCTGACTCTCAATATCAAAATCCAGGTCCCTTGAGGAGAGGTTCCCCTGGACTTCTAGGACCAATCAGTGTCCATCCTGATTCCTCTGCCTACTACCAATGTCAACAGGTTCTGCTGGGACAGGCTGCTTCTGCAGGAGGTGGCCTCATCCCGGGGCATTGGAGGCTGGGGTGTGCTGGTGCTGGATGAGGCTCAAGAGCGGTCGGTGGCCTCAGACTCACTTCAGGGGCTGCTACGAGATATCAAGCTGAGAAACCTTCCAGGGGACCCTAAAGTGGTTGTGGTTACCGACCCAGCCCTTGAACCTAAGCTCCAGGCCTTCTGGGGCAATCCTCCTACTGTGCACATACCCAAAGAACCTGGTGGGAGTCCCACCCCTGTCTACAGAGACACTATCCCTATTGATCCGGTGGAAGCTGCCTGTCAAGCTGTGCTTGAGTTGTGTCTAAAGGAGGTTCCAGGAGATGTGCTTGTGTACCTGTCCAGTGAGGAGGTAAAATAATGGGATTACACACACACACACACAAAAAAAATGCTTAGGCTGACAATGTAGCTCAATGGTAGAGGGCTTGCATAGCATACATGAGGTCCTGGGTTTGATTCCCAATACTGCCAAAAAAAAAATAATAATCATGTATGCCTTCCTGTCCTGAGGGGATGGGATACTGGAGTGGTGGTATTTACTCTGCTGGGGTCTTAGGGAAAACAAGGATTTCAGGATAGAGCTGCCACCCACTTTTTGATTTCTAACGCAGGGATTTATGGTTCAGTGAACTGAAATGATAACATCCCCCCCAACTTTCTGAGTATATACAGTTTTCAGAGTGAAGGGCCATAGTTTCCATCAGTTTGACAAAGGGGTTTCTGACTCCCCCTAAAAGGTGAGAACTGCCCTAATGGCCTGCCCCTCTCTTCAGGAAATTTCCCTGTGCTGTGAATCCTTGTCAAGGGAAGTGGGGACCTTAGCTCTCCCAGGACCTCAGCCACGGGTGCTGCCCCTTCATCCAGGCTGTGGCCAAGCGATACAGGCTGTATATGAGGACACAGACATGGGTGCCCGGAAAGTTGTGGTCACTCATTGGCTGGCTGACTTCTCCTTCTCCCTCCCTTCTATCCGTCATGTCATTGATTCAGGACTGGAGCTTCGAAGTGTGAGTGAGAGATAAGGGGGAGTGGGGCTAAAGTCAAATGGCCCACTCTGATCTGTACTGACATTGGTTGGGGGATGGACAACAGGTTTACAATCCTCGGATCCGGGCAGAATCACAAGTATTAAGACCAATTAGCAAGTGTCAGGCAGAGGCAAGACGACTTCGAGCAAGAGGGTTCCCACCAGGTAAGAGCCTTTACCCTCAATGAGGTCAAGCAGAGCAGTCATAGCATGTCAGCCCTGAGAAATCTACTTTCCCAGGTCTTTCTCCCCTCAGGGTCCTGCCTCTGCCTGTACCCTCAGTCCTTCCTAGAACTAGAGGCTTCCCCACTGCCACAACCCAGGGTTTGTGAAGAGAATCTGAGTCCCCTGGTGTTACTACTAAAGAGGAGACAGATTGCAGAGCCAGGGGAGTGCCACTTCCTGGACCGGCCTGGTGAGCACCCATCCTGCTCAAGTGCTACTCTCTGACCTGCTCAGACTTTACACCCTCTAAGCTCTGCTTCCTCACCAGCTCCAGAAGCATTGATGCAGGCACTGGAAGACTTAGACTATCTGGCAGCTCTGGATGATGATGGGGACCTATCAGACCTGGGAGTCATCCTATCAGAGTTTCCCCTGTCCCCTGAGCTGGCCAAAGCCCTGCTGGCCTCCTGCGAGTTTGACTGCGTAGATGAGATGCTCACACTTGCTGCCATGCTCACTGGTATATTTATAGCTTTAAGCCACAAAGGGGTTAAAATTTATATCACTTGTTAGTCTGCGGGGTGTGTGTGTGTGTGTGTGTGTGTGTGTGTGTGTGTTTGTGTGTTTGTGGTGCTGAGGATAGAAGCCAGGCTAGACAAGTGCTTTACCACTGAGCTACACTCCCCGTCCCTCACTCCTATAAATCACTGCTTGTGTGGTCACCGCAACCCTTCTTCTTGTGTTTTAGTGCTCCTAAGACTTGTCCTTTCCTCTGTGCTCTAGTTCCCACCCCCCACAGGGCATAATCACCTATCCCTCTGCAGCCTTTTCTCTCTGCTGCTTCTTACCTCTCTACTTGCTTACAACTTTTGTCTTATTACTGAAATCCACACACCTCTGCCTCTTCAGCTATACAACATGATCTATCTCATTCTATGTAATGTGTTGCTCACCACTGGATTATCATTGCAGGCCCACATATCAGCTTTCAACTTACCAATGACCTTCCAGATACACAACTCAAAATGGAGACTTCTAAGCCTTTATTTGTGACCTTTTGATGTGAAAGTGCTGACCACTCCCACTTTGAAATTGCTTCCTCCCTAGGTTTCTGTGGTGCCATTCATCTATTCCTTGGGCTCCCTTATTCTCTGTTCATCCATTGTAAATTGGTCCTCAGGATTCTATCCTTGGTCTTTGTGTTTTCTCATTCACCAAACTCTAAGCAAGTTTATCCACACTCATGGTTTGAAACTCTGCCTTTATACTTAAAATATCCAAACTTTGTGCCTCGTATCTCTCTGCCAGTACCATTCTTCTAGAGGGAGAGGGAAGGAAGAGGGAAAGATAGAGTGAAGGGAGAAGAGAGACCCATTTCCTGTCGGACATTTCTACCAGAATAGTCCATGGTATCTCAACTAAGATCTGAACTCAAAATCCTATTAAGCTACTCCTTTACCCATCATCACAAAATTTTTTTCCTCTTTTTGGATTCTCAATTTCAGATAATACCATCACCTCTGCTCTTCTACTACCATAATTCTAAACTAATCTTTCTGCAGGTTCTTATTTTTATTTTATAAATATCATTTTTAATTAATTTATTCCTCTGCATATTCACTGTCAGTGCCCATGTTAGGTCCTCATTGTTCGCTGAATTCCTTTAGTAGTCTCCTCACTAGTCATGTAAATATTTTCAAATGTGTGGACCCCCTTATTAAAAAACTCCTCTTCAACAGCTATTCTTTTTAATTTTTTTTTTTAGTTGTAGATGAACACAATACCTTTATTTATTTATTTTTATGTGATGCTGAGGCTCAAACCCAATGCATCATGCATGCTAGGCAAGCACTCTACCACTGAGCTAAAACCCCAGCTACAACCTTCAACAGCTATTCTTTACCTTCAAGATATAAGTAGGTACACATTTGTAATTCCACCAACTCAGGAAGCTGAGGAAGTGGATCATAAGTTTGAGGTCATCCTCAGCAACTCTGTGAGACCCCATATCAAAGAGAAAAGGTGGGGGGAGGGCTAGGGTTGCAGCTTAGTGGTAAAAAGCACTCCTGGGATCAATCCCTGGTGTGTGTGTGTGTGTGTGTCTCTCTCTCTCTCTCTCTCTCTCTCTCTCTCTCTCTCTCTCTCTCTCACACACACACACACACACACACACACACCTAAAAAACTTCTTTGCACAACACATTCAGACTCTCATGACCTTGCATATACCTACCTTTAGCTTTAGCTCCTGCTATTCTGCCACATGTCATTGCCTCCGCCTAAATCAGGTGGCTTACAGTTCCCCAATGTGCCATGTTGTTAACTTAGATTATTAGTCATTCTGTTCCCAAAGCCTCAAATATTCCCACTGAACTAATAATTCCTACTCAGAATTTCAAAAATTAGCCCAAAGCCCTCATCCATTTCTCTTATATCACCCATGCTCCTATCACCCAAAGCTGCCCTCTTCTGTGTTTCCAAAGTATCATATATATACCTATCATACTTATCAGGTCTGCTTGCTTGTTGGTCTCTCCCACCAACTAATCTTCTTGAGGGCAAGAGACTCCTTCATTTACAGCCATTCCTCAGAATCCATGGGAGATTGGTTCGTGGACCCACTGTGTATACCCAAATCCACTGATGCCTATGTCTTTTATAATAAAATGGCATATGGGGCTGGGGCTGGGCTCAGCAGTAGCGCACTTGATCATCTCTAGGTTACTTATAAAATCAAATACAATGTAAACACTATATTTTTAAGGAATTATAACCAAAAAAAGTCCATACATTTTCTGTTTAGATGCAATTTTTTTCTGAATATTTTTGATCCACAGTTGTTCAAGTTCAGATGTAGAACCCATAGATATGGAGGCCAACTATTGTTAATCCCTAGTGTCTAATAAAGTGCAGAGTATGCAGAAGTTACCAATGTTTTTTGAATAAAATTCCCAAAGGGGCATTTGTACCTTTTAAATATTACACCTGTACTACTATCCTTTCTCATTCCCTCAAACCACCTTCCTCTCTTCAACCTCCAGTTGCCCCTGGGTTTACGCGTCCTCCACTCTGTGCGGAAGAAGCTGCCTTGCGAAGGGGTCTGGAACACCCCGATGGTGACCACAGCTCTCTGATCCAGGTTTATGAAGCCTTTATACAAAGTGAGTGGCCCACTTTGCTCCTTCTTAATCCTAGATTTTTCAAAAAGGAAAGTGGTGTGCAACCATCTGACAGATCTCTGAGCTCAGGAAGAGGAGGCCTTTTGGCCATAGGTTGTATCCTTTAGGAGGCCTCAAGGACGTCAGTTGTAGCTGGTCTCTTTCCTCTCCTAGGTGGAGCAAACGAGGCTTGGTGTCAGGCTCGGGGTCTAAACTGGGCAGCATTGTGCCAAGCCTGTAAACTTCGGGGAGAGCTCCAAGAACTCATGCAGCAAATTGAACTTCCCTTGACCCAACCAGCCTTTGGCTCTGAACAAAATCGCAGAAACCTTCAGAAAGCACTGGTGTCAGGATACTTCCTCAAGGTTAGGGGAAAGGTTTGGGGTGAGAATGATAAACACAGAGGAGACAGATATTTATATGTTACCTCTGAAATTTGGGGTGAGAATGATAAATACAGAGGAGACAGATATTTATATGCAAGTACCATTCAGAATATTTAAACCCAAGAGGGACTATTCCTCTGAGTTTTTGGAGTACAAGGGACTATGGAAATACCATATGTAGAGACAACACCCAAAGGTAATATTTTTACTTTTAAAACTCTCACTACCCCTACTAATTCTTTCTCAGCCCCCTCGTCTTTTTTCTACTCTCTGCCTCTTCCGTTTACTTATTCCTTCAATATCTTTGTCTTTCAATGAGGTGGCCCGAGACACAGATGGGACTGGAAATTACCTGCTCCTAACCCATAAGCATGTGGCCCAGCTCTCCTCAAATTGCTGCTACCAAAATCGCCGTCCTCCGGCCAGACCCCCACAATGGGTGCTATACCACAGTTTCTCCATATCCAAAGACAACTGCCTTTCCATTGTTTCTGAGATTCAACCTCAGATGTGAGTTTCCTGACACAGCTCCTGCACTGCCCATTCCTCTACCTGGGACCAAAACTAAAATTGTGAAGTTAGAGAGACTTAAGAAGACGAGATCTTAGTGGTTTGAGGAGAGAGGGCTCATGGAAGGGGTTGTAGGAAGTTCAAGAGTCTGCTTTATAAGAGAAGATAGAGCTTATCTTGTTATGATTCTCTCTGTCAGGTTGGTGGAGTTGGCCCCTCCATATTTCCTGAGTAACCTGCCCCCCAGTGAGAGCAGAGATCTCCTGAACCAATTGAGGAAAGAAATGGCAGATTCATCGGCAGAGAGTGAATCTTCCTCCATCCAGGAGTTCAGAGATGCCTGTGTCCTGCAATGACCTGCCTACCTAAGGATTAGAGCTGAGCTCAACTCATGGTCCTCCTTCAGGCTAGCACCAAAGCAGACAACTAGATTTAGAAGGCCAGAGTTTAAGGTCAATGTAAATTCTGGAATCTAAAAGTAGAGGGAATGGGGTAAGCCACAGTCTATATAGGGTAGAATCCTTCCCTTAGCCTTCTTGTTGCTTTCCTTATTTGCCAGGGACTGACATGCTCCCCATTCTACCAAGTTATGTCAGATCCATCCTTGTACTCCCTTTTGATCTATAAAAGATTTTTCTATGATGCCAAGTTTGATTTTGATTTTGCAGCAGAATATCCAACAAGCATGAAGAAATGACATCATTTCAAAGATCTGGGGCCAACTCCTGGAGCCTCTTGCCTGGCTCCCACCCCTGGTCAAGCCTTATGTTGTCTGACATAACTGTCAAAAGCACAGAATATGAGTAGTCTGGCTATCATTGGCCCTGCCTCTCTTTCCTCTGTCACAATGTTCCAGCCTCCAGGGGAGGAAGAATGGGAGTGCTAGAGGAATCAGACAGAATCTTTCCTTTGTCATACAACTTAGAGCTTACTCCTTTTTAAACCTTACTACAACCATCCCCTCACTGAGCTTACCATCAACAAGCATCCCAGCAGCCTCTGGCTGAAGTTGACACTTAAGGAACATTCTTTCTTTATGACTATGAATACCTTCCCCCATTTTGCCCTTGGACTATTAACTTTGATATTCTTCATCATCTTGCACATTATAAATATGTTTATGGAATTTGGCTGGAAAACAAGATTTATTCCTTAGAACTCTGCTTTTCTTCTGAATACCCTCTCTTGGAGATTCTGTCTGTTCTCATCATTTTCTATCTTCATCTGTATGTGGATGTCAGTTTACGTCTCTCAAAGATACTTTTCCAGAATTTATTCTTTGTAGGTCTAACATTCATTTTGCCTAGAGTTAATCTTACTATAAACTTCCCAATTTCACCCTTCATCATCCTCAGCACCATTGATTTCTTGTTCTCCATATTTCCCATCTGAAATTATCTTTAATTTTTTTTTTAGCCTTATTATTTCCAAAGTATTCTGGTCACTCTAACTCCACTGGGCCCATTACTTTCTCTCCATCCCCCTCCCACTGTGGGTACTAGGAATTGAACCCAGCACTATCTACCCAGCTCAATCTACCACTGAGCTACATCCCTAGCCTCCCCCCACCCCATCCCCTTCTTTGAGACAGGATCTTTCCAAGTTGCTGAGGCTGCCTTTAACTTGTGGTCCTTCTCCTTCAGCCTCCTGAACAGCCGGGATTACAGGCCTGTGCCACTATGCTCAGTGTGGACCCATTAATTTTGCCCAGTTTCCTCTTCTCCCTTTTCTGTCCCTGTGGGACACCAGAGCCAGATTTTCTTCGTAGATGTTATATTTTGTCTGACGTATAAGTATTCCTCTCACCTACAGCCCAAGTGCACTGTGAAGCTCAAAAAGAATACAGCCAGCAGATTGAACATAGTACAACATGAGACTCAAAGTCAAGAAGGAATCCTTAGCTATTATTTTACAGTTGAGGGATGAGATGCCCAACATGACAACCCTCTGGTCCCTGTCGTGATCAGTCAGATTCTGGCGCTCCAGCACCTTCTCCATTATTTCTCTGTTGTTGCCATCTTCCTTTCTTCACACCTTTGTTGTAACCCTAGACAGCACCTGCTGCAGCCAACCCTTCCCAGCACCACGTGCTGCTCTCAGTACTCAGTCCAGGGCTCTGAGCCTATTCATCGCAGAACCCCTAGTCCCTGAGGAGAGTAGCTACCATTGGCCAGCCCATCCCCCTCCCTGCACCTTATTGGTTATCAACCTATAGGTCCCGCCCTCTCACACCTCAGGTTCCTGTGGCCGCTTAGATGCTGTACTGTGAAAAATGGCGGGAACTTTAAGCCCTGTGTGAGCACCCTGGGAGTCTACTCGATGGGGGCCTGGGAGCCCACCCGGCTCGACGATAATCTGAATTCCTGCTGCTTCTCATACACCCGGCTGCCAGGAAACCATGGGCCTGAGCAGCCGCGCTCCACTGCCCGAACCGGGCGTTCCATGCGGCGCCTTGGTCCGGTAAAGAGAGCTCGGCGGATCCAGCAGGCGAAGCTCACACCACCGAGGCAAGCCCAGACACAGAAGCCACTTTGTTGTCTTCGGCCCAAGGCTGCAGATTCTGCAGCGCGAAGAGTGATGAGTTGTGCAGGCAAAGCGGGTCCGGGGGCAGGGGCGGCCGCAGCGGCCGTGGTAGCGCGTCCTGCTGCAGGTGCAAGAGCAGCCGACCCGCGCGGTGCCTCTCGGCCTCGCGCTCCTCTGCGGTCTGGCGCCTGGGCGGGCGGAGATGCGGGGTCAGCGAGCCTGTCCTCGCCCACCCCGCGCCTCACCGCCACTTGGCCGGCCCCGCGGGCCCCAGTCCGCCCTAGCTCACCGCCACTTGGTGCGTCGGTTCTGGAACCAGGTCTTCACCTGTGCGTCGGTCATGCGCAAGGCCTTTGCCAGCGCCGCCCTCTCGGCCGAGGCCAGGTACTTCTGGCGCAGGAAGCGCCGTTCCAGCTCCAGCACCTGCGAGCGGGAAAAGGACGTGCGCGGCTTCTTCCGCTTCGGGGGGGTCCGGTTTTGGTAAGGGTGGCCTATGCGGCGCGTCCCAGAGAAGGGCGACAGCGCTGCTATGAGGAGGAAAAAAAAGCAGGGTAGGGTTTGCGAGGTGGCCCGAGGTATCGCTGAGAAGAGACCCTGGTCCTTACCCGGGCCCCAGGCTCGGCCCCCAGGCTCGGCCCAGCATTAGCAGAAGCATCCAGACAAGAAGGGATATCGGAAGCAACGGCCCTCCGCATGAGTAAGGAGAGATGTCCCCCATAACTTCACCCTGCCCACCCCGCAGTGTGGACAGTGGAATTGCAAGGTAGGGCGGTACAGGCACCGACGACAGCTCCCTCCCCATTGCTCTCATCTGCAGGATCAAAAGGTCCGGGGTGGAGGAGGATCCCCCGAGATAATCTGAGGGGAAGTAAAAAAGAGGTCCCTGAGTTGGAGCAGAAAGAAAAGAGGAAAAGGGTCAGAGTGTGGCATGACGCTGGAGGCGTCGGGCAACCTCACCGGTGAGCCGATCCTTGGCCAAGCGTCGGCCGCTGTCCATCCATGGAAAGGTGAGTCCAGCTAGGCTCCCGGCGCCGCCCAAACCCGAGGGCCCAGGCACCGCAGGGGCGCCTCCCGCGGGCGGCGGCACTGGCAGCGGGCGATGAGCCGGAACGCGGATCACGCCACCCGGGCCCACTCCGGAGCTGCTGGGCAGCGGGGCCAGAGAACCTGCAGGGCCATAACCCGAGGCTCCGTGGAATCCACCCGAGAATGCCGCACTCTCGCTGTGGCTCTGGCCCGTACGACCCGGGCCTAGGCCACCCCCCGGGGGTTCGGAGCAGCTCAGAATCTGATCGATGCCGAAGCTGATTGGCTCGTGGTGCGCAAGGTTGTGCGGAGCCAGCACCGAGGGCTCCATGGGTCTGAGACTGGGAAGACCTCAGGAGGTTCCGTGGATAAGTAGAGTGCCGCAGATATATAGCTCTGGGAGCCCAGCGGCGGCGCGCCCAGGTCGGCGGCCTCAAGGGCCAGCGAGGCTGGCCACAGCCGGGCGCCGGGCCCCCCAGAACAGCAGCAACCCTGTGCGCCTGGAAAAGCCTCGCGGCTGCCCGCCCCTACCGGGCGTCTGCACTGGGGCTCGCATCCCGGAGGAACGCGGCCCGCTGAGGCCCCCGAGCTCCCTTGCTGGCTCCGAAGCACAGATGGACGCTAGTCTGCCGAGGTCGCTGCCCAAGTCTCGGGTGGAGAGGGTTGGCCAGCTCGGACTGGGGCAATGACTGACAAACCGGCCCCGGGTGGGCAGTGGGGGCTGGGGGTAGGGCAGGGGCGGGGCCCAACTGTTAAAGGGGAAAGGACGCCTGTTTGCGCCAAACACCAGGCGGGATGTGCGGGGCGGAGGCAGAGGAGGGCGAGGATGTTAGGAACAAGGCTCAGCGCGGGAGGGGCCAGAGCTTGGGCAGCTGAGTCAGCCAAGATGCTCACGTCGCCTCCTTCCTTTCTGGCCTCCGCCTTTGGGCTGCCTCCGCTTCACCGGCTTCCTCGGCAGGTGCTTCTTTCCCCACGCCCCACTCTTCACCTCCCGATGGGTCCTTCTTGCCAACTCCTGGATTCGTTGTGACCCCCACCTAAGTGTTCTCTAAGACCAAATCTCGTTGAGGCTTCCCGGCTGCGTACGAAGTGGTTGAGGAACAGCAACCCGCGATCTAGAGGCCCAAGAAGAGGACAGGTGTGGGAAGGGAATGGCAGCGCGAGTTCGGCGGACTCGGGCTGGGGAAAAACACTCCGCGTTCTTGATCCTTAGTGTACCTCCTGACCTCTCCTTTAGAGCTACCGGTCCTGTCCGGACGCATTGGTAATTGGTGCCATGTTTCTTAGAATTTCGATTTTCCGAAATCGCTGCAAATCAAACCCGTTGCTCAACCTCGGCCGACTTATCATCCCCAGTGCAGGGAAGCCTCAAGGCGGGATTCTGCCCCTTTATTCTGAGCCCAAGAGGTCTATTTTCGCATACTTTCCCCTCTTAAAGACCGGAGGACAAAATCGCCACCGGCAGCACGAGGGACTCGCTGAGGCCTTGGGAGGATCCCGGACGCCCAGTTTCCCATTCACACTTTATCCCAACCAAACCCCAGAAAATGAACCTGGGGCGTGCCAGCGAAGGGAGCTGGGGAAAGGCTGAAACCGCTTGGTGACCTTGTGACCTCTGGCGGAGAACCCAGGAGCTGGGAGTGTGTGAACTCTGCGTCCTTCCTCGGGATGGGACCCGGGCCGGGAGGGCCCCCAGAGCCTTAGACCCGCCCCCGCCGCCACCCTGCCCGGTGCAGGCCGCCATAATCAGGTTAGCTGGGCCGGAATTACATTACCTTCCCCAGCCCGCCCCGGCCCTGGGGGGGGGCCTGGCGCCTCCGAGCCGGTGAGACTGGGCGCGGGGAGGGGGGCACTCTTATCATCCCACAGCGGGTGGGCACCGATGAGCTGCACAGCCTGCCTCAGGCACGTGGTGGCCAAAACACCCCGCCCCGTTGTGCCAGTCCCCTACCCTAACCTGAGTCTACTCCAAGGCTCGCTCTACCCTGCAGGTTTCCCGTGTGAACCGAAATGCCTTCTAAGTCCAGTAAATGGATCTCCCTGGGAGCACTGAACTTCCAATAGATTCCCCAGGATCCCCTGGGAAAAACTGGTCCCTCCTTTCTCCCCAGCAGATGGGCTGGCAGCCTGGCGCCTGAGGCAGGGTGAGGGGGTCTTTTTCCTCCTGGGAACGAAGAATGATATTTGGGCATCTGGGCAGGAAGATTAAAAAAGAGACAAATGGGTTTTTTCCTCACCCAAAACCACCAACCCCTCGATGTTCCCAAATCCTCAGTCTGAAGGGGTTGGTTGAGCCATGGGGGGAGGAAGAGGACATTAATAATATGTGATAATCTCCCCAGAGTTGGCCACCTCTATCATCCAATTTCTCCAGCTTGTCCTCAGTCCTGCTCACAGAAACAGACCTTCTGAAACTGGGGGGCTCCTATCAATTTGGCAGCTGTGTTTTTATCTTGGTGTAGGAAATTTTCCCTATCCCTTCCAGAAACTTGCTCTTTTTTAGCAGCTGCTGGAGGCTATAAGGAAATGTGTAGTCTCTGCTGTTGAGGCACTCAGAAATAGCATAGGCTAGACTCAGCTGATTGGGAAAAGAGAACCTAGGGAGATAGCCAGCCAAGAAGTTCAGGCTCTGACAGGGGGCTTGCCTGCAGATTAGGAGTTTGCCACTCCCTTCCATGCTCAGGGGGGTGGTTGGGGAGGGAGTGAGTAATTTCAAGTTGAATGAATCTTTTTAAATAAATCAATGGGCAAATCAATTAAAGAAAAAAGAAACATCATGCATAACTGGCTTACTGTACATCCCTTTCTTTTTGAGGTGAGTATAGATGGCAGTGCTTCTCACCGAGAGATTGCTCAGTTGACCCTTTGAGAAGAATGATCACAAACTCAATAGTACATATGAATCTCCTGAGGAGTTTTTTTTTTTTTTTAATTTCAGTATCCCACTTCAAGAACAGAGGGCATCCAGTTCTGTCAGCCACAGAGCTAGGGAAATTCTCTTCTTGCCTCTACCTCTCTGATTATGATTCTCAGGGAAAGGATAGTTCCTGCTAGTTCAGGTTGAAGATTGAGGCACTGGGGTGAGCGCCTCCTAATACACACCACATTGGATGTGTCTTACCATATCCTTTGTGTCTGTGCCCCCCAAGTCTTCGGTGTGAGCTTGTAGCCTCATAGGAAGAAGCCAAACCCTAGCTGCTACTCTTGTTCCCTCCTTTCTGTCATTAATCCATGTCCTTTATTCAAGATGGTTCCCACTCCTAAATCATTTATCAGCTTAGTTCTTCCTGGCCCCAACTGACATCATATGAACATAATCTTTGCCTGATTCTCCAAAAAATAATTATGTTTCTCTTTTCCTTTTTGCTGTCCATGTCCACTGCCCCCATGTCCTCATCATTCATTCTTGTAATAACACAGTGCAAACTGGCTTCCCTATAGTGACACTTTCTTGACAAGTTCTAGTGTCTGGCATCTCTTTCCAGGCCTTCCCTAACATGTTTTACTTTGTTGATCATCGATGGTTTTTGAAATGTCCTTTCTTTTGGCTTCTGTAATATTCTATTATTTTGTATTTTGGACTTTGTCATGGCTTACATCTCTCCTTCACTGACTTTGCTCCTTCTACTGAAGTGTACGAACATTCTTCAGAGCACAGACTTGAGCTTTCTTCCTTTCTTTTTCCTTTTTGTTTTCAAAAAGGGCCAGGGCCGGGGGCTGGGGATGTGGCTCAAGCGGTAGCGCGCTCGCCTGGCATGCGTGCGGCCCAGGTTCGATCCTCAGCACCACATACCAACAAAGATGTTGTGTCCGCCGAGAACTAAAAAATAAATATTAAAAATTCTCTCTCTCTCTCTCTCTCTCTCTCTCTCTCTCTCTCTCTCTCTCCCTCCTCTCTCACTCTCTCTTTAAAAAAAAAAAAAAAAAAGGGCCAGGGCCATGAACATAATAGGCAAGAGCTCCAACACTGAGCGACATCCCCAGCTGCCCCCCTTTTATTATATTTTGTTTTTGATGTTGATGGACCTTTATTTTATTCATACACACACATACATACAGTGTTGAGAATCAAACCCAGTGCCTCACACATGCTAGGTAAGTGCTCTACCACCGAGCCATAACTCCAGGCCCCCCTTTTAAATGTTTTTATTTTGAGGGGGGTCTCACTAAATTGTGGAAGTTAGCATCAAACTGGAGATCCTCCTGCCTCAGCTTCCTTAGTATCTGAGATTATAAGTGTGTGTCACCATACTCAGCAACTTCAGCTTTCATTATTTCTACATCTGCTCAGGTTTCATCCATTCCAATATTCCCAACTCTCACATCTACCGGGACAACATGATACTTTAGCCCCACCACTCCTTTCTGTCTGACCAGCTCACTTTGCCATTCCTGAAGCTACTGTAAGACATGCCTACCTCCCAATTCCTCATTCACCCTCTTGCCCAAGCCCCACAAATCCAGTCACTGGCTAATTTCTTCTATTAACTTTCCTTTGGAGAATTTCAGATACAACCCTTTCCATCTACGTTGCTAAAACCCTAATCTAAGCTGCCAACACTGCACCTGGACTTACTTATTTGTTCATCCAGAATTTTTTTTTTTATTGAATACCCACTATGTGCCTRGCATTGGAGATAAAGCTGTGAACGCAATGGATGGTGGTGGATTTGCCTCTAAAAGCTTTCATTCTAGTGTGAAATGCAAATGAAAAATTAACAAATATGTATTAGCAATATGTAAAAAGAAAAATATATTGAATAATAATAAACACTAATAATGCTAATAAATGCTAGGAAGAAAAATAGAGCAAGGAAGTGAAGGGGGATAGATAGTGATCACAGAAGCTTCATGGAGGGAAAACTGTAAAGGAAGGAGCCATTTGGATACCTAGAATTTCAAGTTGGGAACTCAGCATACCCTAGTGTGACTGTGGAGTAAATACTGAAGAGTTCTTTGTGACTAGAGAGACTATGCAGGGCCTTGCAGACCTTTATAAGACCTTTGGCTTTTATTATGATTGAAAAGGGAAGCTATAAAAAGGTTTGTTTCTGGTGTTTGTTTACAAGTTTTGGAGATGAACCCAGGGCCTCTACCACTACTTACCAAAGTTTTTAAACAGAAAAAAAATAACTTGATTTTTCAATTTTATTATTAACAGCTTTTTGAAGTATAACTGACAAACTTCAGATATTTGAAGTGTACAATTTAATGTCTTGACATCTATATACCCATGAAATTATCATCACAATCAAAATAAAACATGTTCATCAAAACCTTCCTAGTCTCCTTTTTGATTCATGACATCAGAATTTTTCTGAGCTGCCCTGTTAAGAACAGGATAAAGAAGTGCAAAGGCGGACACAAAGAATGCAATCAAGAAGCCATTGCAACCACCAAGAAGTGGAAAGTAAACAGTGGCCATAATGAATAGTTGGCTAATAAAGCAGGAATTCCATAACTCCTTGCTGCTTGTTCACAATTCATTTTGAAGAGAAATGGATATTTTGTTCATTCATGGGGGAACACCTCCCTCCTCACCTGCCCCCACTTCTACTAGCTCCCTGTTGTCCTAAGGCTAAAATCCCAACTCTTAGTCGCTGCTGTGTCTGTCACCACTCTCAAATCCACACCTTGACCTCCTTCCAGATATTCCTCTCCACTTTGCCTTTCTATTTCCATCACACTTCTAACACTTCTTCCATGTCTAAATTGTGCCCGCACAAAGTCCCACTTTTTCCACAAAGCCTTTTGAGGTCTTATTGGGATCTCACCCTTCTCGAATCTCCAGTTGCACTTGTTGTCGATACGTCATAGTAAACTTAATTCTTTTTAAATTTCGCTGTAAGGACCCAGGGATGGCGGTGCACAAGCCCTCACGACCCCAGAGTCCTCCCCAAGTGTGGAGCTGGGCCTATGCTACTGCAGGCGCTCGCTACCTAAGCGTGTCTCCGTGCGGCAGTGTCCTATCGTCCTCCCCTCCTCCTTCGGCATCTGCTCTGCATTAGTCTGTCCCAGGCCTCCGCAGGCGCCGATGATTAAATCATCATCATTAACCAGGGCTTGCTACCCCCCCCAATCCCCAGCAGCCGGGGGAAAATGTGGGGGGGCAGTAAGATCACTAAGTCCCTGGGGGATCTCCCTCCCCACCCCATCCTCTCTAAGACTCCGCAAAGCCCCTAGAAACTCCGGCAGCGGAGCTGGAAGAAGGCCTCCCGTCTGGGTGAAGCTCCGCAACGCGTCAGCCTACAAGGCGGCCTTCCCAGGAGAAGACCCTTCCTTCTTCAGCTGGGTCACAGTCACTGGAGACTGACGTGCCTGAGCGGTAGCTGGCGGTGATCGCCAGGCCTTTTGGGGTAGGAAGGGGCAGTCTTTGGCAGGCTCCAAAAGTTAGTCCTGAGGTCGGGTAGAATCTACTTTGATGGCTCCTACAGGAGGTGGAAGTGATAGGACCCTTCCCCACACACACCCCCACTCCCTAATTATGGATTGAGGAGGGGGAGGGGCCAGCGGGGCTCAGGTGAGCACTCGGGGGAGTAAGAGACGTGGGCGGGGCCTTGCAGAGAAAGAGCGAATCCGAAAAGACCTAGGCCCTCGTTGCCTGGAGACAAGTCCCGCCCCGCAGGCGGCACCGGAAGTGGCAGGCCAGGATCAGCCTTTAAGATGGCGTCTCCTCAGGGGGGCCAGATTGCGATCGCGATGAGGCTTCGGAACCAGCTCCAGTCAGTGTACAAGATGGACCCGCTACGGAACGAGGTGCAGGGGCGGCAGGGTTACTGCTGTGGTCGGCTAGCGGTGCGAACTGGGGCGGGCTAGAGGACGGGCGGTGGCTGGCCAGAAGCCCAATGCGCTTGCGCAGAGACAGGGTTCCCGGTGCGCAGGCGCGATTGCAATCGGGTTGCCAAACTCAGAGCTAGAACGCCTGCGCATTGTGCAGCCAACACCGTGTAGTCTCCCCTGGGAAAGGAGGGTCTGGCGAGTCTATGTGAAGAGACCCCTGCTGTGCGCGGAGCCCTCTGCTGGGCGGAGGCGGATTGCCAGCCCCTGGAATTTAATCCTCTGCTGATAGCGGAGGGTGTGGGGCTGGTCTGGAGTCTGATGAAAGACACGACCCCCAAGCTGGGAAGGCGCACGAGGTGGGGTGGGCTGGGGTGAGGAATGGATAATAGGTGACGGAGGGTGTGTCCGCAGGAGGAGGTCCGAGTGAAGATCAAAGACCTGAATGAGCATATCGTTTGCTGTCTGTGCGCTGGCTACTTCGTGGATGCCACCACCATCACTGAGTGTCTTCATACTTGTGAGTGCCCTAAATCCTACCTGATTCTTCCAGGCTCAAGCCCTCACCAAGCAGACCATGAGCTTCTGTGCCTCCTGCCCCACCCATCCCACGTATTGGGTTCCCAGGGAGTTTGAAAGTCTGCTTTTCTCTTCGCAGTCTGCAAAAGTTGCATCGTGAAGTACCTGCAAACCAGCAAGTACTGCCCCATGTGCAACATCAAGATTCACGAGACACAGCCACTGCTCAACCTCAAACTGGACCGGGTCATGCAGGACATCGTATACAAGCTAGTGCCTGGCTTGCAAGATAGTGAGTAATCAAATTGACTTTGAGAGGCTTCTTGAGATCTAATGAATGCTGGGTGACAGCTTGAGGTGACAAGGGTTTTGATGGGAATTATGTAGGTTTTAAAAATGCCAACAGCCAAAGGAACAAAGAAGGAGGACTAACAGTTTACTCCCATACTTCACACCCTCCTAGGTGAAGAGAAACGAATTCGGGAATTCTACCAGTCTCGAGGCTTGGACAGGGTCACTCAGCCCAGTGGGGAAGGTATGTCCCTGGTAGCAGGAGGGTAAAGCTAAGCCCCCAGAGAAAAGAAGGATATGGAACCTCCTCAGTACCTTATTTTTCTCAGAGCCAGCCCTCAGCAACCTTGGCCTCCCCTTCAGCAGCTTCGACCACTCCAAAGCCCACTACTATCGCTATGATGAGCAGCTAAGCCTATGCTTGGAGCGACTAAGGTGAGGAGCAGTTCAGAAGTTGTGTGAAATGATAGTGCCCAGAGCAGGGGAGTGGAGAGGCCAAGCAGTAAGGGAATGTCTGTGTACTTTAAGAGTATGCAGGGTGGCTCTTGGTATAGGAAGGAAGGAAAGATGGAGGCTCCCTAACCTGTGTTTTTCCCCCCCCAGTTCTGGCAAAGACAAGAATAAAAGTGTTCTGCAGGTGAGATGGGTTGAAGGGAGGGTTCATCTAAGAAGATTCAACTTCCTGTGGCCCCTCCTTAAGCACTTTGTCTTCCCCTCCCCTCCCTGTCCTTAGAATAAGTATGTCAGATGTTCTGTTAGAGCTGAGGTACGCCATCTCCGGAGGGTCCTTTGTCACCGCTTGATGCTAAATCCACAGCACGTAAGTAATCCCACAGTAGTTTAATTTCCTTTTATGAAGAAGAAGGAGTTAAGAAAGGACAGACAAAGTCTAGGGTACACCAGGGTAGTTCTAGACCAAAGAGGAGAATTCCATTTGCCTCTTAGGTACAGCTCCTTTTTGACAATGAAGTTCTCCCCGATCACATGACAATGAAACAGATATGGCTCTCCCGCTGGTTCGGCAAGGTAAGCCAGGCAAAGGTGGGCTGGGGCCCTTCATATAATAAACTGTCCACTGACTACTTCTTCCCCCTTTCTTTCCTTAGCCATCCCCTTTGCTTTTACAATACAGTGTGAAAGAGAAGAGGAGGTAGGGGCCAAGCCCCAACCCCATCCCTTACCCCTTCCCTTCCCAGATATTTATGTGAAATTAACTGTGGCTTTATTTTTTGAAATAAAAGCTTTAAAAAAGCATCTTTCTTCTTCCTGCCACACACTCAGGCTTTGTCCTGTGTCCTGCTTCCCTCAAAAATCCTCAAAAGTTTTACTCTAAAGACAGGCCTCTCCTCTACTGTGAAGGGCCCTCAATGTCTTGCCAAAGGAGAAGGGGATAAGGCCCTATAGTGAAACTTAGAAACTGAGCCAACTGAAACCCACCCATACCAGCTCCTTTTGGTGAATGGAGTGCTTTCTGGGAGCAGCTCTCACTGTCCTTGTATGCTGCAGCATGTGATGCAGAGTGGAGGTGTCCTAATTGAGTATGGGGAGAGGAGGGCTAGGGTTCAATAGTGTCTGCTGAAGAAGAGTGATATGTTAAAGAAACATTCAAAGAATTGCACTCTGGTTCTATAACCTGAGTAATAGGAAGAGAAAGAAGGAAGGAATCTGAAAAACAGTTGAGACCTGTGTGTTGGCACATGCCTATAATCCCAGCTACTTGGGAGGCTGAGGCAGGAGGATTGTAAATCCCAGGTCAGCTTCGGCAATTTAGTGAGACCCTCTTCCAAAATAAAATATTTTGTAAGAGCTGAAATGACTCAGTAGTAGAATACACCTGGGTTCAATTCCCGGTACTGCAAAGAACAACCAAACAAAAACAAAAGAAATTGGGTAGAGGTGGCAGGGATACAGTTGGAAGCTTGGCTTATAGGTTTCCTGCGGTGGGAAGAAGGAAGTGGCTAAGTGAAGCCAGGGTAGGGAAAATTGAGAAAAGCTGGCTGATGTAGAGAACACTGGCAACTTCAAAGAACAAGAGGAGTTTGGCATGATCCCAGCAGGTCAGGAGGCTGAGGCAGGAGGATCACGAGTTCACAGCCAACCTCAGCAGTGGCAAGGCACTATGCAACTTGGTGAGACCCTGTCTCTAAATAAAATACAACACAAGGCTGGGGATATGGCTCAATGGTTGAGTGCTTCAGAGTTCAATCCCCAGTACCCACCCCCTGCCAAAAAAAAAAAAAGAAGAAGAAGAAGAAGAAGAAGAACAAAAACAAGAAAGAAGCAGCAAGGCCCAAGCTCCACAGAGTGTTTGGGCAGATGTCCCTTGTCTGTATAAGTCTGGACATGCACTCTGGGCACTGGCAATAAACTCAGCCAATGTTCTTTTTCTATGGGCCTCTAAAAGGGATAGCAACTGGGACGGGCACAGAGGCCAAAGCAAAGACTTCCTGAAGGAAGCAAAGGGGGCTGCTTCTGAGTCTGGAACAGTGGGATGGAACAAGAAGCTTAAATGTCAGGAGATGGAGAGTGGAAAGAGATTGGAAAGCCTAAATCTCATTCTGGCACTGACCTATTTCTGACTCCACTAAGTTTGACTTTAAGGGGGTGGCTGTGCATACCTGTTGAGAACCAAAGACACTGCACTTTGGTGAGTGAAGGCCAGATGGCAGAGGACACAGGTGAAAGCCTGGTTACAGAGGGCTGTCTGAACTGGGTAAGAAAACTGGAGACTTAACTCTGGGTGGGGAAAACCTGAGGTCACTTCTAGAACTCCCCTCCCCTTACCATAATCTGTGCTTTCTAGAAACCTCTAACACTGGGTGTGGATGAAGAGTGTGCCATCAAGGGGAAGGCAAGCATAGAAACGTTGAAGGTGCTCAGAAAGAGAGCCTAGTGCATGGGGCAGGGGACAGGCACCTGAGTCGGAACACTGCAGAACTACCTGGGTACAATCCCATCCTGACCCAGGTCTCCAAGATTACTAAAGCTTCCCCTGTTTCTGGGTCTCATGCCTGGAATGCCCACCTCACACACACCTTCCGGTGCACTGCTCACCTCCAGCAAATTCTTCCCGATCCAGAATCAGCTTCTAATGCCTTTGAGGCAGCCTCAAAAACATCTGGAGATTTGGGATTAATGATATCCCAGCCCCGCCCCGCTTCCCTTCCTTCCACATTTAAACTCTGCCGGCGCCACAGGAGCTCGAGGCACCCAGGCTGTTACCAAAGAGTTCATGAGCAAACTGGTATTTCCTAGGGTGACTGGTTTGGAGGAGGAGGGGCGGCGGGGAATAAGAAAGAAAGAACACTCCAGGGGACATTTTGCGTCCGGTAGCTGCGGGAGTTGGGGAGCAGTCTGACTAGCCCAATGATAGCCCTCCAGTTGGGTTTGGAGCTTGGGGATGTAAAGGTGGGACCGAAGATAAGATCTAAGCATGAAGCCTAAAATGAGGTCTTTAATGACACGTGGCCTAGAGGCTAAGGAGCTGCTAAAGGCGCTCTCACACCCGTCCCAGGGACGGAGCGTTTGCAGAGGCTGGGCCCAGCTCCGCGCGGCAGCCTTGGTTTTGTCTGTCAGCGTAGTAGTGGCGGCAGCTGCGGTGCTTCTCCCACGGTACCTGATGTTGACAATCTGCAGGCTTTGCGTAGCTCGCCCCAGGGGCCTGTGGATCCATTTCCCCTTCCCACTCTGCCGCCGGGATTACTTGGGTCTCGATCGGTGCCAGGGTTGGCGAATCACTTACACTGTTCTCTTGGGCTCCGCGACTCTGAAAGCACTGGAGCGCAGCGATCTTTCAATTTCAAAAGAGATGCGGCGGCAGGGCCGCCTCGGCTTTTCAGTGCTGCGAATAGGACCGTCAGTCCTGCCTGCGGGGCCGAACCCGCCCTTACCCCTGCCTACCTTTTTCGCAGCTATTTCCGCTGCTTGCTTTCAGCCCGAGGAATTGAAACCCCCTTTCGCACAGAAGGGACACTTTGGTCCCTCTCCCGGACTGGCCAGTCTCCCCCAGGAATTTAAGGGGGGCGGGGGCGAGGAAAAGAACTTTCCTAGAACAATGAGGGAAAGAGAGTCTGAGTGTGCAGCCACTCGTTTCACATAGCCGCACACACTTGGGATGGCGGTGGGTGCATGCAGAGCTCTTTGCCAGCAAGCGAACGGGGCCAGAAAGCCTCACAGACCCGCCGCCCCACAAATAACGAAAGCAAAATTTAAGTCTGATCGGGCGACTCGGCAGTAATTTTTTTCTGAAAGAGAATATCCCAGAAGTTTGCGAAACGGTGCGATACACCGCTCCACCTTCCTTGCCTGAATATTCCTTCGTAAAATCCCACTGTCCTTTCACTCCGATTCAATAATTTTCCCTAAACACAGAGAGGAGGAAGGCAAGCACATTTCTAAGAGTGTTCTTCCTGTCCACAGCCCCGAGGAGGTTATTCTGGGTGTTCTCAAACCCGCTATACACTCAATTCAGACATATGTGCAGAGCGGGCAATCCTGAGACTAATGGTCCTTTATTGAACAGACCTCAGTAAAGCGGGGGAGGGTAGCGATCTTGGACCCGCCTTGGTGGAGGAATCTTCGGGTGAAGGTTTCGGGAGTGGGACCGGGGGTTGTGCTGGGAACCGAGAATGGGAAATCTGAAAATGGATGAAGAGAGGTGTTTGAAAAGTGTTCTTAAATGGTAATAAGCTGCCTTCTCAAAGGAGTAAAGGTCAGAATGTGAGGATCTCTACAAGGAGAGGGAGTACAAGACCCTGACATGTCTGAAGGGACAATGAGGGGAATCTGAGGAAGTGGAAGATGTGAGAGATTGAAAATGTCTGGGGAAGCAAAACTCTGGGACCTTGCCAGGCTTCAGTGAAGACACAGTTGGTGATTCTCCCAAGAAGGACTTATGGCAGGAAGATTTCACACTGTAGTGGGAGGTATGGCCGGAAGACCAGTGAAATGACTCAGAACCAGGGAGCTTCAGTGCTTTGCAGCTGGGGGGGGGGGGAGTCTTTGAGACAGTGGAGTACCCCCTCAAACCCAGAACCAAGGTTTAATCTCTCAATCTCCCTCATTAATCACTCACCCTCCTCCTACCCCCCTCAGCGGATCCAGTTTCTCTCCAGCTTGCGTTCCAGACACTTCACTGGGGAAAAGCCCCCTTCTGTGGCCCCAGGATAGTCTGTACTAGTCCCTGGCCGACCTTAGCTGGGCCTCTGTTGTCCCTGGCATCCTCCTTTTACTAGTCTCCACTTTCCTCACCTCCCCCAGGCTTGTGTCTGGGGATCTCAATCCCATTACCTGAGCCCTGCTGCAGAGAAGAGAAGGTAGGCAGAAGAGATGGAAGGGGAGGGAAGGCAGAAGCCTATCAAGAGAGTCCACACTCCTCACAGACATACAGAAGTAATTGAGAGCAGAGGTCGAGATGGATATAAAAGCCATGTAGTGGATGCATGAGTGAAGGATGCGGTGTCTGCTTGGTGACGTGCCTCGGATGCTGCAGATCAGTTCCCGCTGCCTCCTGGGATCCACTTTAATTGCAGATTAAATGAAACCACAAGGATGGTGCTGAGAGCTGAGGCCTGAAGCAGGAGAATCCCCCCTCCCCTGACTCCCACCATTAATAAGCAATTAACAAGGTCCTGAGGCAGCTCAGCTTTCCACAGTGGCCTAACTGTGCTCTCTGACCTGGCAGTGGCCCATCGGGCCTCAAGTGTGTTGCCCAGGCCAGGCCTCCATGAGGGAACTATGTAAAGGACTGGGTGTTTGGGGGTTGGGAGTGTAGTTGTAGGGAGCCCTTTATAAAGAAGACCCTCACTACCAAGGTACCTTCCTTTTCTTGTCAGAGTCCTTGGCCTAGGTGCTGAGGATCCCAGCCCTTTATGGCTAAGCCCCACTTGCAGGCTTTACCTGCCCCAGGGAATAAACAGGTAGACAGAGGGACATTGCAAAACTGGTAGAAGATTCAGAAAAAAAAAAAAAGAAGAAGAAGAAGAAGAAGAAGAAGAAGATTCAGAGGTCTACAGGGAAGGTGACATAATGAACAGTCTAGGTCAGATGTGTCTGGTTCTTCATGGCACTGCCCAAGAACAAACACCCCTGCCCCCACATACCCACACATACACAAAACCAGGAAAAACATTAATTTCTGACTGCTCTGGCAGCAGATCAGCATGTTCTCTGTCTTTGGACTATGAAGCCTCCAGCTATCTGAGATGGAATATAGGAAAGAAACCCAAACCTTGCCAAGACTCCACTACTGGGACTGGGACTGGGACTGGGACTGGGACTGTGCAGTCCCTTAGCTGCCTTTCTGTGAAGGAGGGTGGTTGTTTGTTGCTGTATGAGCCCAGGACCAGACTAAATGTGGAAGAGAAGAGAAATAGGACACTGAAAAAATAGGAATAAATAGACTAGGCCTCAGAATTTGTGCTTGGATTGGCTGGGGTGCTATCTCACCATCTGATGGGTCCAAGAAGTCTGCCCTTCAAATCAGACTTCCATTGAGAGTGACTCCATCCTGGTCACCCCCTCCCCCAATTGTTCATCTGGGCTATTTCTGAGCCTCTACAGGCTAAAGAAAACACATCTGAACTATAGAAATTTAATAAAATGACAAAGATCCACTGATAGACCAATAGAGGAGGTCTTCAGTGGAGACCAGTAAATACTGGCAAAGACCGCTCCTGAGTAGCACCGGCTGAAGGCAGGAGTTGCCAGGTCTCTCCAGAGGCTCAAGACTCCCCCAGCTTTTCCATGTATTTTGACTTAGTCTGGGCCTCTAAACCATGGTAGGGTCCACTCACCTGCCCTTGTTTCCTTGTGACACCCCCACTATTGCAGTCGCTCTGCCTGTCCCATGTCTGGAGTCCCTGACCCCTTGTGCCTTACTAATCACTTTCAGCCTCCAGGATCATTTTAAGAGCATTTACCAGGGATTGGTGGCGATGAAGGGTGCCAGGTTAGAAGACTGAGTTCAGGGATCCTCGTCCGTGAAACTTTGCAAATTCCCAGCTGTTGGGGTCCTGGAAAGCAATTTTTATCGCTCACAAGTTTATGAGCCAGAGCGGCGCCTAGGCGCGGAGTCGGCAGCATACAAAGTTTAGGGGACTAGGCCCAGTTTTAGTGCACACGCGACTGCGCCCCACAGCGCAGAGATCCACGGCGGCCCTAGTCGGGCTGGTTCTTCTGCCTACTTATCTCCGCGCCTCTCCTCACTGTAGATATAAGGCTGCTGGGACATCTACCCGCTCCAGACCCGCTGGGGCCCTGGGGAGAGAGGGTGGGGGCGCAGAAGGAGGGGCACCTGGTTGAAGCTGAAGCCCAGCGCCGGGGGCGGGTCCGAGTCAGGGGGCCCGGATTGGGAGCCAGTGCTGGGGCCCTGGTGACTGCCGAGCCAAGCGCAGCGGGTGGCGGGACCACCATAACCCAGAGGGCCATGAACTCCGAACGCCAGCCCCGAATACCCTTCAGCATCGCAGACATTCTAGGCCCTCGCATGGTCCCCCGAGCACCCACTGCGCCACAGCTTCCAGAATCCTGCCCGGATCCGACGTCGCCGCTGTGCGCCCTGGAGGAGCTGACCAGTAAAACTTTCCGCGGACTTGACGGGCGCGCTTCACAGCCCTTTGAAGGTATAACGCACGCGGGCAAGGTCTTGGACCCCAACTTGACTGTCTCTTCATTTCTCTTTTCCTGGTTCTTGGTTTCAAACCTTCGTCTCATCCCGGCCGGGTCACCCTAATCGGCGCCTGCCCTCAGTCCGTGCGTCAGGATTCGAATCCCCGGCTTCCGCCTCTCCTCCGTTAGTTCCCCAGACTTTGTGGCTGCTTCAGGAAGCCACCAGCAAAAGGCCAGGCTGTCCAGAATTGAGCGACCCGTTGGTCGGTTCGCAGTAGGCGGGGTAATCTCGACAGAGAAAGGCCGGAGAGTAGGAGACAAAAGGCTCGAGTCGCAGGCTGTAAACTAATGAGCCAGGGCTTGGACGAGGCAGAAGCGCCGGGAGGCGACACTTGGGTCTCTCCAGGAGACCAAGCTCTGCTCCAAGTCACTCTCTTCATGAGGGGGAGCAAAGAGCCAAAGGTCTTTGGCGTGGCCTTGGGGGCGGGACACCGCACTCCGACTTTCCTGGCTTTCTGTACTCCCATTATCAAACTTTGGGGCTCTCAGAGAAGGCGGTGGTATCACTGAAAAACTAAGTGTAAGCTGAGTGCCCTACACGACTCAGGAGTTTAAGGAAGGGCATGATCTAGGTCCTGTTACCTTCACCAGCCCGGGTCAGGCACCACTGCTCTGACCTACCTCTGGTGTCACCCCAAATCTGCTAGCCCACAACCTGGGGCTACAAAAGGCTTCCAAGGCTGTACTTCAGGCGGCCTGATCCTACACCAGAATTTCTAGGGCCTGTCTCACCCTCTTTCCAGCCCCCTTCCTCCCTCACAAGCCCTCAGTGTTCAGCCTCTGGTAACTCCAGTGGCATGCTGCGCTTTGCTCCCCACACCCCTCCTCAACCTGACCTCCGCAGTATTTGGTAAGTACCGCGGTACTGGTCCCCATCTTTCCTGGCTCCCTCTCTCTCGCCCACCTACTGGACTGATCTCACTCCCAGCTTTTTCTCCAAGGATACAACCTAATTCCCGCCGGCCTGAGACTGATCCCCGCCCTATCCCTGCAGGCAGGGCCGCTCCAGACGCCTTGGGCCCGGCCCCTGCCGGCCGCAGACGACGCAAGTCACGGACAGCCTTCACTGCGCAGCAGGTGCTGGAGCTGGAGAGGCGGTTCGTCTTCCAAAAGTACTTGGCACCTTCAGAGCGCGACGGACTGGCTGCGCGACTCGGCCTGGCCAACGCACAGGTTGTTACTTGGTTTCAAAACCGCCGTGCCAAGCTTAAGCGCGATGTGGAGGAGATGCGCGCGGACGTGGCCTCGCTACGCACATTGTCCCCAGGAGTCTTGTGCAGCCTGGCGCTGCCTCAGGATTCTCAAAGCCCTGGCCCCAACTCCAGCCCCTACTCTGTTGGGCCTAACTCCGGGTCCCACCTATCAGACGAAGAAATACAGGTGGATGATTGAAGGCAAACCCGATAACAGCCCTGAACTCTGGAGCCCCGGACTCCTCCCTTCCGCACTCTTTGTCCTGTCTGGGTTCCCGGGTGGAGGGAGGAGGTCCACCTGGGCCTGTCTGGCCCACAATCCAGGCGCCCATCTTTTCCATTGTTGAGAATAAAGTCGAGGCTTTGCTGCAAGATGCCTCAGTCCCGGCGCCCAGAGCCAATAACAGCAAAATCTGCTGGTTATTGGGGAAATATGGTGCGGACACCGTGTATAGCGCTTGAAACTTGATGTTTCTTTCAACTCTGGTGGCAACCCTATCGGGTAGGTGTGTGATTAGGCCCATTTTACAAAAGAATCCTGAGGTCAGGATTCGTTCTTCAGAGCTGATGCTTGTCACTCTGCCTAGGAGACACTGGGTGGGAAGAAGAAAGTGGGTAGGACTTGGGCTGTGGCTTGGGCCAGCACACCCCTCACCATGCTCCTACAGGCTATGTTTTGTGGCAGGACTCTAGGAGGCCTCTCTGTTCTGCAGAGGGAGACTGGCACCTCCTGTGCCAGAAATGTTCTTAGCACCACCAGGTCTCAAGAGGGTGGGAAAGCCTGGCCCCAGGCAGGACTTGGAGTAGCCCGGCTTGCAGGGTGGGAAATCCAGTCTAGCTGCAATACTGACATTTTGTGTGTGTGTGTGTGTGTGTAGTTGAGATTATTTATTTATATGTAGTGCTGAGGATGGAACCCAGTGCCTCACACATGCTAGGCGAGTGCTCCCTGGGTTACAATCCCAGCCCACTGCTGACATTGGTGTGCTGGGGATTGAACCCAGGGCCTTGTGCATGTGAGGCAAGCACTCTACTAATTGAGCTATATCCCCAGCCCCCAATGCTGACATTTTTGACACTCATTTATTCTGTTGGCTATTAAGCACCCTCCTGCAGGATGATGGGGGAAGGGAGGAGAAAACTCTATTAGCTGCAGGGCTTCCCCACCCTTGGCCATCCCAGCCAACCTTCAGGAGACCATGCTTAGGCTCTTTCCAGCTTTCCCTCAGTCGACCCGACCTCCTCAGATCCTCCCTGTGCTTAACACAGGTAGCCAGGGTGTTAGGCCTCAGTTGCAGGTGGAGGGCCAACAAGTTTTTCCAGGAAGGGTAAACAGGCTGGAAGGCAGGAGGAGACCTGGCATTTTCAGAAATAACTATCCCTTATTGAGCCATTCCAAGTGCTTTGCGTGGATTAATCCTCACAATGACCTCAGGGACAGAGGGTTTTGTTTTCATTTTAAGGATAAAGAGACTGAATCACAGAAGCTTAAGGGAGCTTGGCCAGGTCATGCAATTTGTAAATGATCAGGTGGAGCTAACTAACCTTTGTGCTTGTCTGACTCAGGAGCACATGCTTTCAGCAACTACAGCTACTGTCCCTGTAAAGAGGACAAGGTCTAATGGGAAGAAGCAAAGAACTTACAAAAACAGGAGAGCAGAAAGGGCCAAAGTTGGGAATGTAGGCATTGTACCTTAGAGCATGGTTCCAGGAGGTTCTAGAGACCCTAGAGCAATGTTTAGGGTAGGCTAATATGGCTATATGTGCATGATGGATCAGACTGATAGAGACTGGAAGAAAGCAGTACATCTCTGGCCACTGCAGAAGGTAAGAAGATAGAGAATTCAGGGCTAGACTTATGGGCGAGGATGAGGAGGTGGTCACAGAAGAGGAATCAGTATGATTGCCCCAGTGACCAAGGACTGTAGGAGTTAGTGACAACCTTACAAACCTGTACAACTGGGTGGTGGTGGGGGGAATGGCATCATGGACAGAAAAAATGACCACTGCTATATTGCTAAGAAACATTCTCTGCAGCTGTGTCGTCCCCTCAATATATATATACACAACACATATACCACCCCTGGTTCCCCTTCCTCCCTTATTCCTTTCATCACTTTCTAAAGACTGTCCCTCTGGAAACTTTCTAGCCCATGACCAACCCTTCTTGGTTTGCCCAGCACTTTCCCAGTCTTCACATTGCAAGACCCATACCCAGAAAAATCAGCATGGTTGGTTACCCACTTTCCAGTCCTGACTACTTGGAATTTACGCTGCTGAGTCAGAAAACTATCAATCAGGAGTGGTGTGTATAGGGCACAGTGGGGCAACTTGTCAGGGTCCTGTGGCTCTTGGCTTAAAGATTCAAGTCTTTAAAAGGTTAAGAGAGCTGGGAAGAAACACTTGCAAACAAAAGCAAGAAGCTAGCCCAGTTTAAAGGTTAAAATCCCACACAGTAGTGGGTGACCATGCTTTGAGGGGCTGGGAGCCTCAGAAGTACCTACATCTCCCTCCCCAACCCAAAACAGGAAAGCTAGATGGACAGACTTCTTAAGGCATCACTGCAATATAATTACCCTTTAAACAAAAACAACTATCCTTCCCCCCACCCCCCTACCACCTGCCAACTCCCGAGGGAAAAGCCAAGGAATCCCAAGGCAAATAAGGTTTCTTAATTCCAGCAATGCCAGTGCTGCCACTTCTTCTACTCAAGCCTTGGATAACAAAACTCAGACCTGTCCCACCAAAATGGCCTCTGAATGGATGTCTGCTCCCTAAGCCCTAGAACAGTGTGCATCACAATCATCTGGCAGGCATATTGAATCACAAATTGCTGGCCCCCACTCCTATGGTTTCCAGTTTGATTTGGAAGGCCTAGCTTGGGGTCTGCAAATTTGTATTTGCCACAAGTTCTTGAATAATACTGATGCTGCTGGTCCAAAGACCATACTTGGAGACCCACAGTCCTAGGAACTCTGGGTTTTATGAATTTAGGCAGCGATTCACTCCTACTCCTCCCTTTTCACTGCAGGAATCACAAATATATAGGATAGTTATAAGCAAAAATAGTTTATTTAGCATCCTGTATGTACTAGGCACTTTGTGGTATTTTCTTATTCTCTGTTAATTGCCTGTTTTATAGATGAGGGAACTGAGGCTCAACTATTTGGAAATTTGCCCAAAGTGACCCACATAGTATTTAAGGGGCTTAAATCACAAACAAAAAACTTTAGGAAAGTCCTATATAAGAGTGAAATTTCAATACTTCCTATCTCCAAGTTGAACAAGACTAAATGATTCCTCTGGGGAAGACATTTGGACAAGAGGGCTAAAAGTGACCCCCCCATCCCACTGCAGATCCACACCTAAATGAGCTAAGTGTCCTAGGCAAGGTCAGTAAGGAATCAGCCAAAGGAAGCTGCCAGGATCTTAGAGAAGCCAAAAGAAAATCATATTTCTTACACAGGAAGTAGAGAATTACAGCCATCTTTGGGGCAGGGACCTTAGGTGGGGAAACTCTTGGGGAAAGGCTAATTGCCATGCCCAGTGCTGGGTGGAAAAAGTGCCCAAGGTAGCAGCAGCCTGGGAACCATGTAATAGGAGTCCGCAGTAGGGAGTGTGGAGATGTGTGGGCCCCACGAGTTCCAGAAATCAGACAGTAAGGGACATTTTGAATGCAAACCTTAAAGAATCTTCCAGGAGTAGGAGGATGTGGGTTTAAGACCATCAGACAAAGAAGAGGTCAGAGTGTGCACAGCAATGTAGACAGGAAATGACACAAGGGACTGAAGTAAACTGGGGGTTGTAGCTAAAGAAGATAGGGCAAGAGCTGGGGTGAGGAGGATGTAAATGTCATTAAGCTAAACTGTGGGACTCAAATCTTATTCATTACACTGACCTCATTCCTGAGCACAAAGTTCTAGCTGGTGAATGAAGCCAAGAAGCAGAGCAAAGCCCCAGATGCATCCTTACTGACTCTGATGTAGTCTAAAGACCGGAACTTCTATATAGTTCCTATTTGGGCAATGGTGGATTTTGTTTTTCCTACCACCCCTAGAAGAAGCCATCTGCTTAAGAACCAAAGAAAGGATGTTTCAGTAGATATGGGACTCCCTTCTATCATTGGAAGGTCTTCAGTGGCAAGAACAACTGCCAGCGTTGTCCTCAAATACAGCTTTTGAGTACAGCATCTCAAAACATGCAGTGAATTGTCCCCACAGTGTCCCTGATCCCTTGGGATGTCCACATGGCCTTGCCATATGAAGGACAGGTCTTCTTTCATCTAGCCTGAGGCAGATGCTGGGACCCCAGGATGTCCCAGTTCTTTGAAGGGTCCTGGAGATGAAGAGAGTGGGGTCTTCTACTCTGAGTCTGAGGGAAAGGCCAACTGGAATGGCTCAGGTGATATGGAGGATAATGCAAGGGTGGAGCCAGACCAGGGGACCTTGGAACAGTGCTTGGAGGATGACTGAGGGAGAGTAGGCCTGAGGCTCCTGGCTCAGAATGGGCAGATTGCTGGGGGGCCCTGGTCAATCCAGGTGGCACACAAATTCTTCCTTGCTGATGATCCTGCTGAGAAGGAAGAGAGAGAGGAATATGACCCCACCATCCTGTGTCCCTTGCCCTATGAGATGGAAGGTAGCACTGCTTGGTGCTGTGGTCCCAAACAGTTATACCTGGCCTGAGAGTGAGCCTACCTCCCTTACCAGAGCGAGCTGCAGAAGGCAAGAGCGTAGCTCCTGGGCTGCATCCAACTGAGAACCCCCTCTCAGAGTCTCCTGGAACACAGCAGCAGCCTCCCTAAAGCGCTTTGGTCCCAGAGAGATTAGAAAAGGCAAAATTTAGGCATCAGGGGTCCCAAGAATTTAAAACTGATTCCGTCTTCAAACTGTCCCCACCTCCTAGTATTGCAATCAGAAGCTTATCCAGAAAAGGTCAATATAAACCTATTCCCTACCTCATCCCACCCAAATCTCTCCTTTGTTTCCAGCCTCAGTTCTATTACCTGTAGTCCCATCAAGGCCTTGCCCAGGCGGAAGAGGCCCCGGGGCCATCCAGGCTGCAGGGTAAGGGCCACCTGGGCATCAGCCAGGGCCCACACTGGCTGACCCAGCCGCTCATGGCAGAAGGAGCGATTTCCAAATAACCTGATAAACAGAAAAAGTGGACAAAGGTCCAGGTCCTCAACACCCTTCCTTA